ACAGTTACTTTAACACATTGCTGAAAGTATAGTATGGGCAAGTCCTTTGGCTCAGTAGTGCCCTTTTGGGAATTTGTACAAGACAGGTTTTTTTTGTTTATTTTGTTTTAGCAAAAAAGATGGGGTGTAAGCAGGTGGCACACAGAAAGGCTGTGACAGTGGAGATGGAACATGTGGCTTCTTTAATCTACACATCTCGATTTCTTAGCCACCTATGTTTTATCTGAAGTAAGTATTTGGGTTTTTAGTAAATTTTTAATTCTTGGGGCTGGGGATATAGCTCAGTTGGTAGAGTGCTTGCCTTACATGCACTAAGGCCCTGGGTTCGATCCCCAGCACCACCAAAAAAAAAAAAAATTTTTTTTTAAATTCTTTTTTTGCTTATCTGTATTAAAAATTTTTTGAAAGCCCTATAATTCTGTAATTAGAGGAAAAGTTGATATGAAACTGCTATGTTCTGAATGTCCCCAAAGGCCCATGAGTCAAAAGCTTGTTCCCCATCGTGGTACTACTGGGGGGGATCTTTAAGAGGTGGGGCCTAGTGGGAGGTCTTTAACTCACTGGGGGAATGCCCTTGAAGGGGACTATGGGACCACACCCCTCTTCCTCATTCACTCTCTTGTTTCCTGGTGATGAAGTAAGTAGGTGTGCACTACCACGAGCTTCCGCCATGATGTGCTGCCTTGCCACGCACCCAAAGCAAGGGGGCTAAGACAGTATGAACTGAAGGCTCCATAACTGTGAGACAAAAGAAACCTTTACTCTTTGTAAGTTGATTATTTCAAGTATTTCACTATAGTAATGGGAAGCTGACAATTATAGACACCATTTATATAAAACAATATCAACAAAAAATGGATACACACATACATATTTCTAGAGAACACTTCTTGATAACAGAAATCAAGAAACTTTAAGTAAGACCATTTCTTTTAACTAAGTAATTTCCCATTTTGTAAGTTGTGCCTGAAAAGGATGAAAAATTGGTATGGAAATAATCTGAAACAAACATTGTTAAAAAAAAAAAAGAACGTTTTATGTCGATTTATATTCTTACTTCACCTCACATTTTTCTTACAAAGTTAATAAAAAATTCATCATAGGGGCTGGGGATGTGGCTCAAGCGGTAGCGCGCTCGCCTAGCATGCGTGCTGCCCGGGTTCGATCCTCAGCAGCACCACATACCAACAAAGATGTTGTGTTCACCAAGAACTAAGAAAAAACTAAATAAATGTTAAAAAAAATTCTCTCTCTCTCTCTCTGTCCCCCTCTGTCTCTCACTCTCTCTTTAAAAAAAAAAAAAAAAAAAAAAAAAAAAAAAAAAAAAAAAAAAAAAAAAAATTCATCATAGAATCCACAATCCACTCCCAGTTTTTAGGAGAAAGCTAAGTCATAAATCTACGGACAGTACCTTTTTGTATGTGGCACAAAATGCGCCGTATTGCTCAGATTCATGTTAGCAGCAATCTTCTTTTTCTCTTTTATAACTTCAGTATTTTGTACTTATGGTGTACCTATGAGGGGAAAAAAAGAATATGTGTAATTATCGGAACAAAATTAAAGAATCAATAATTAAGGTGGGCACGTTGGCATGTGTCTTTAGTCCCTGTTTCTTGGGGGGCTGAGGCAGGAGGATCTCTTGATCCCAGGTTTGAGGTCAGTTTGGACAACACTGTGAAGCCCCATCTCTTTAAAGGGAAAAAAAGAAGAAGAAGAAGAAGAAGGGGGAGGGTGGAGAGGAGGAGGAAGAAGCAGCAGCAGCGATAATTGCTAATATGGTAGTTTTAAACACAAATGCAATATTACAAAGTTAAAATTGTATCTTCACCCATGGATGATAAACGTAAAAGCTATGACTTTTACAACAAAGACACAGGATACTCTTCCACAGGCAGTACTTAGGAAACAAATGTGTCAGTAGATTTCAGAATCTTTACTGAGGCTTCTACTGGTTTATTTGCATCCAGAGCAACTCAATAAAAGCTAACAGCAGCCAGCACTAATGTGACAGCACACGGCAATGCTGCAGATCCTCTGTCAGTAAGGCTTATATTTTCAATAGCTTCTTTAAAAGGCTGATGATGTGCACTGATTCATCCCTTTCTGAGGCTCTCCCATAACCATTTCCCCCATTTTGGAAGTAATGATTATTTATCAATTGTCTATTAAAGAAGCACATGACCAATGTAGAAAATCTAATACACACACACACACACACACACACACACACACACACACGTGTGTGTATACATTCATATATACTATTTTTTAAAAACCCTGTAACAATGTGCATACTTGTCTCCATGTGGATATTTATTTCTTCCTGTCATCATTTCTTTCATTATACCACTGAGCTCTACATGTAATTTCATAACCTACCTCTTTAATCTAATTCGGTATTATGAGCATGTTGCCATATCACCCAACGCTGTCCACAAAGATCATTTAATGACTTCTCAATGGAAGAGTCACAATTAATTCACAACTGTTTCTCCACAACTGGAAACCAAGGCTGTAGTCAATCCTTTGTTTTGTTATTGAATTATTTAATAAAGCGTTTTGAAGATCTTTGTGTATCTCACTTATCTGTGTTTGGGGGGCTTTCTTTCAAACAGATTTATTGAAATAGTTATTGGGTCAATGAATATAACGATTTAGAACCTGTATTTATTAGAATAATTTTTAGGTGTCTGGCTAGCTTTGGAGATGGCCTTACAGAAAAAAAATTGTAAAAAACAATATTTCCATTTTCAAGTTTTTCTTGCTGAGGATATCCCAAATCTCCTCTCATGCTTACATTTACAAGCTGCACTTTTTTGATTATTTTTGTTATTCCTTCTGTGGCTGTGGAAGGCTTTAGAGCAACTGGCAGCTAAAACTTGCCTGCATCCTGTATCATCACATTTTACCTATCCACAGGGTTTGGCTTAGATGTGAAGTGTCCCCCCAAAGCTCCTGTGTGAGACAATGCAAGAAGGTTTGGAGGAGAAATGATCAGGTTGTAACAGCCTTAAACTAATCAGTGAATTAGTCCCTGATGGGATTAACTGAGTGGCAGCTGGAGGCAGGTAGGGTGTGGCTGGAGGAAGTGGGGCATTGGTGGTGTGGCTTTGGGGTATATAATTGTATCTGGAGTGTGAAGTCGGCTTCTCTCTGCTTTCTGATCACCCTGTAAACTGATTCCCTCTGCCACACTCTTCTGCCATGATGCCCCAAGGGATGGAGCCTGCAGTCTATGGACTGATATGTCTGAAACTGAGCCCCCAAATAAACCTTTCTTCCTCTACAATTGTTCTTTCAGTCATATCAGAAAAAAAAAAAACTGACTAAAACACCAATCAATTGTTGGAATGTTTACATGTCTACCTTGCTCTTCTAGTCTGACTATACCTTCAATGAATTAAAATGTTCCTTATGACCCTATATAACACTAGATACTATGTTCCTAAGAAAATAGTTTTAAATAAGGCATATGTCACCATCCTCATGCCCAGTTTCAAATGCAAGAGATGTTCACTCCTAGGAAATAGCTTTCTCATGCTACTGGCCACGTGGGCTTACTATTTACCTTTTCTTTAAATGCTTATTCATTTTTACACAATTTTTAAAAAATGCATCCTCTTTGCATCTTTGGCTCCACATCTCTATAAATGTCTTAAAATGAACTCCCTTGGATTTCTAGGAATTAAACTTCTCCATTTTACCTTTTCTTATTTTTAGGACACTGCATTGCTAGGGGGCTAAAGCTTGTATTCCCAAGTTTGATGCATTAAACCTAAAGGGTCCTTTCTGTTTCCTTCCATTTCAACACCTTCCTTCTTACTCCATAAATGTCTCCAGCATCCCAAGAAACTGACCCATGAACTATTTCTGCTAAGTTCCTTGGCTTCTCTCTGATGACCTCCATGGTGTGTTCCTCCAAGGATTAGCCAAGTTCTCTGCATAAGTGCAAGCTGCTATCTTCACTTCTGTCCATTTAATGATATTGAATGACACTGTGTCACTGGTGATCCCGACCCCTATTGTAAGCCTCAGTCCCGTGTTTTAAAACATCTATTTGGCTTCTCCCCTAAATGGCTCACAAACTCTTCACATTAACTTCGACTCTTCTTTTCCCTTGTCCCTTACACTCAATTAATCCTCAATTCTGCTTCAAATATTTCTCCCCACACATTTTTAACTCTCCATTTCTGTGGCATTAGTTTTCTCTCCTTGGCTTTCTGCTCTTTCAGCCTCAATTCTATCTTTTCTGCAATTCATCCTAAAAACAGTATTACATTAATCGTCTTCCTAAAGCACACAGTTCAGAAATATCACATTTCTGCTTAAAATCCTTCAAAGTACAAAGAATGCAGAATCCTTCCTACAGTATAACTTTTACTCTAACTTAAATTCTAAAACTCAATAATTGGGGAAAAAATGAATTACTATTCTATCACATGCCCCTTCATGCTTTTCATTTCATTTCATACTTGATTTCTTTGTGCTAGTTCCCCTGTCTGTACTGTCCCAATACCACCCACACTCACAGTCCAGCTAAATGTCATCTTTTCCTATAAAACCTATCATTTTCTCTATTCTTGTATCCTTCAGTTTTAAATTCACAGGTATCAATGCTCTGATGGATGTCAAGTACCTCTTCAGAGTAAGGGAATTGTCTATTTGGATCTATCCCTGTATCTTCAAGTTTTCTTTTAAAAAATATCTCTGCTTTCATGAGATATAATTAAAATATATAATTTATCCATTGGAAGTGAACAACTCAATGGTTTTTAATATATTTACAGATAACACCACAGTTACTTTTAGAACATTTACATCATCAAACAAACAAAAACCCCTGTACCTTTTAGCCATCACCTTCCTACCTCCAGCTTAAGCAAACACTAATCTGCTTTCTGTCTCTGTAAGATCTCCCTGCTCTGGGTATTTCATAAGAAGAGAATCATAGGATGTGGTCATTTAAAGCTGGCTTCTTTCACTTAGCCTAATGTTTTCAATACTTAGCCAGTGTACTGCCTGGCTCAGTATTTCATTCCAATTATTGCCAAATTATATTCTATTATATGAAGACACCATATTTTTCTTACCTATGCATCAGTTGATGGACATCTGGACTTTTTCCACTTTTTTAAAAATACATTTTTTTCTTATTGATGGATTTATTAATTTTTTATATGTGGTACTGAGAATTGAACCCAGTGCTTCACACATGTGAGGCAATCGCTCTACCATGGAGCCACAACCCCAGCCCTATCCACTTTTTGATTATCATGGATAATGCTGACATAATCATTTGTGTACAAGTTTTTATGTGGACATGTTTTCATTTCTCTGGAGCATATATATACCTAAAAGTGGATCGGCTAGGACCTAAAGTATCTTTTTTAAAATAAATATATATACACACACACACACACACACACACACACACACACACACATACACACACATATTTTTAGTTGTTGATGGACCTTTATATTATTTATTTATTTATACGTGGTCCTGAGAATTGAACCCACAGCCTCACATGTGCTAGGCAAGCGCTCTGAAACTGAGCCACAACCCCAGCCCACCTACAGCATTTTTATATAGCATATACTCCACAAAAATCTGTTGAAATCGCCTGTTCTTTCCATTCCATTCTTGGAATTAAAAATGATAATTTGAATTCTTCTTCCTCCCAAAACATGAACAAGACATATTTTTCCTTCCAAGAGGATAGCATTTTAAAAATTAACTAAAATGATATACACAGAAATCATTTTTCCCCACTTACTTGACCTCTTGGAACCTCAAGGGTTACATTTACAGTGATAACTGAGAACTGTGCCAAGAATGTAGACCATTAGGGTCTTGGGCCACTGGGCCAACAGGACAATCCAGCTAGCTTAGAGTAGATTTCATCAGAGACAAGCAACTAAAATAGTGTTGTTCACTCATTATTCTAAGAAATGGAAACCTGCCAACAATGGTAATCAAATCAATTATTTTTCACAGATATTATAACAATTTAAGAGAGAACACAGAATAGAAATATACATTTTTTTCATAATTTCCCATTTCCTAGAGGCTTTCGTGAAAGATGATTCACAGAGGATCTTAGTAGCCTTTCAAATGTTTCAGTAACACCTCTTCAACAATAAACCAGGAGCCAACTAATTTGAGCACCCCAGAATATTTTAGCATTAAAAAGGCAATAAGTATTACAATGTTTCATATTGGAAAAAAATTTAAGATTAGCCATTTCAACTTTTTTTCATTATTTTTTATTTTAAAATTATTTATTTATTCTAATTTGTCTTACATGACAGCAGAATGCATTTTGATTCACAGACACACATAGAGCACAATTTTTCATGTATCTGGTTGTACACAAAGTAGAGTCACACCATTTATGTCTTCATACATGTACTTACGGTAATGATTTCCATCTCATTCTACCATTTTTCCTACCCCCATGACCCCTCTCTTCCCCTCCCTCTCCTTTGCCCTATCCAAAGTTCCTCCATTC